GAATGATCAAAAGGTGGTTTTATTAGTTAATTACACTATAATTTTAACTAAATGGATGTTAGGTAAAGAAATTGAAATAGCTAAATTAAGTAATTGTAGAGAGCAAAAGAGGGATCTTGGGACTTAGAGGCCACCACTAAACATCACCTTCCTAGGCACTCAATGTGTAATGAATGAGGGGGATTATGTGTTGCAATACTAGTGTGTGTCATTGACTGAATCAACAAGTATGGATGACTAATTAAGTATTCATTGCCTAAACAAGCTACTGAATAGCACAACATATCAAATTAAGCCATTATTCCTTCTTTAAGTCCACAATCAATACACATCATTAAAATTAGAGAAATATACTACTTGCATTCATAAGTATAGAACATCAAACAACAAGCATGGATTATCCTCCCATCTAAGAAAGTAAAGCAACTACACTACAACTAAGCTAGGAACATGAAAATTAAACTAAGTAAACTAAAGAAGAGGCACAATCCATCAAGAAATGAGCATGAACCATCAAACAAATCACAAGAGTATTCCATTAAAGCACCATGCCTTGACCATCACTAGATTCATAGCATCAACACACATAGACATGCATCAACATCACAGAATCTAGAGATAAACACATGAACATCTATTCTAGCATACATAGACATATAAATAGAATGAAATGGTCAATTGGAAGTATTAAACCACATAGATCATAGTATAAACAAGATTTATATGTATATCAAAGGTCCATACAAGAATTACAACACTAATCCCCATTAATTACAAAACATCAAAGTCTAGGAGGCATGCTTAGGGCGAGCTCTAGCCCCAAGATAATGGTTTAGCCACTTATTGATGTTGTCATCCAACCCTTAATGGCCATCTCCATGGTTGAAATGATCTTCTTCTCCTTAATGGAAACCCTAGATGAGTGGAAGAACTCCCAAATGGTGTATGTCTCTTTAATCTCTAGACTCCTCCAACCTCTCTTGTGTTCCTTTCTCTCTAAGATTGTATATGTGTAAAATGGCTCAAAATCCTTATATAGGTAGCTCAAGTGTCACACCCAATGGTTACCTCATGCACTAGGGCCTATAAATGATTGCACCACGAGCACACCTTTTAATTGGCTAGAACTCTGTTTTTCTCGCACTTGAGGAGGTTCGATCTATCACAAGGATGGTCAGATCGATCGAACCTTGGTGGCACCTTTTTGGAATAAGACAAATCTGAGATATTTTTGGGATATTTTAAGAAAAGACAAAAGTGGTAGGTGGGGATAAGATCAAAGAAGTCCGATCAATCAGAGAATTGTTGGATCGATCGAAGAAGGTATTTTGGTGAGGAAAAGGACCAAAGGCTCAATCAATCTTAGCCTTGTTGGAACGATCATTATATGATCAATCTGAGCTTGGTATGATAGATCAAAGAATGCTACTTTCCACCTCTTTGCTTCCACTTTTCTCTTTTCTTTCATTGAGCTGGAGATTGCATCTTTTATGCTTTAATTCAGCTAGATTAACTTTTTTTGGGGATAAGTGCCGAAAAAGGGCAATAACATGAAATTAGTCTAAAGTGGGTAAATAAGATAGATAAAGGTCCTAGAATACCCAAGCTTAAAGGGTTTAAATGCACACTTTTTAGCGCTCAATAATCTTAGACTTAGTTAGGACCATTAAGGACCTTAACAGAGAGGAACGGAATGACTGGAAGTCACTAGAGGTGAAGCAAATGGTGCAAAACAAAGGGAGAGCCAACTCCCTTTTGAAAGGAGGCGGCTTCCATTGCAAAGAGGCTGCTCCCATTGCAAAGAGGCGACTCCCCTTTGTGGGGAACCGTCTCTATAAGGTGGGAAAGCGGCTCCCTTGAGGGGGGAGCCGGCTCCATGAAGAGAGGAGGAGGCTCCTTCCCTATTTGATGGGTTTTGAGGTTTTCGAGCCACTATGTTTGGGCTTTTGAGATTCCAGACTTAATTAGGAGCTTCTATTGGGGTTTTGAACAATTTATAAAGACCTATTAAAATCCCAGAGTGCATAATAAACTCTATAATGCTAATAACCTGAACAATATGAGATTTTCAAATAAATTTGCACTTTGTATTTGGATTGGATTATTTAAATTGCTTTCCTCTACACTAGCAATTTTCTATGTATGATTATACAGTTTTTAATCTTATATTAGCTGCATAATATAATCATGTTAACTTAAATATTTTTATTATGCCTATGGTGGATTAATTAAAGTTTAAATTTATTATTTAAAACATCAATTATTGGATTTATAGATTATATGCACCGGTATGGGACGGTGGCATATTAGGGACGGATTAGCTCAAAACGCTAAGTCCTACCTATTCTTATATAATGGAATAGATTTACTACAATGATAAGTCTTACTTATATTTGTGTCAGGTCAACAAATAGTTGAATGACATTCCATGGTTTTGGGTGGCTTTTTATATATATAATTATGGTACCACGGTATGAGCTTGAGTCTCAAGATCGATGGTTAGGGAGCGTTTATGCAGTGGGATGCATAACTGGCTATGATGGTTGTGGTGTACCCTGTTAGGTCTAGGTACTCATGCCCACTTCAGGTGTATTTTGCATATTGCCTACTAGTTAGGTTGATACCGCCTAATAGTCCAGTGAGAGTCCCTTAGTGTGTGTATATATATGTGGACTATATAGTTATTGTTGAGTTGTCTAGGATGTACATGCGTATCGGGTCTCTGTTTAGATTGTAGTAGAGTCGAACTTGCTCGTGGGCCTGACCCACTATTATTTTTCAGGTGTTCGACAGTTCTAGACTTAGAGCTTGTTCGTGCTGAGCAAAGACAGTCACTCACTCTTCCGACTACGTAGGACTATTATTTATGTTTTAGTTTTGGTTTTCTTTTTTAGTTCAGTTTATTTTTCAGTTAGGATTTTATTAGGGGTCCACTAGATGGATTCCCGAGTTGTAAAGAATTAGAGGTTTTGGAGATTTTATTAGAGGATTGTTTAATTAGTATTTCAAGAATTTATTATTTAGTTTTCTTTTAGCTTAATTATTTATTCTTAAATTCTTTTCATACTCAATGCTTGCTTATATACTAAATTGGATGGTATCACTCAGATTTAGGCTCGGACTTGATCACCTATGGCTCTAGAATCGAGGGGTATCAAATGTTTATAGGGTTATTCCGTAATAAGACTTCCACATAGCGTATTATCTTATTTAGAGCTTAAGTTTAGGATTTGTTGTATTCCTTTACGATCCATTTAAATCGTACTGATGTCTGTCTTTTTGTGTTAATAGAATGGTTAATGCTAGAAGAGGACAGAACATGCAAGGGAACAGGCAGCAAAGGAGAGCAGCACATAGGCTGCAATATCTCTTACAGCATCAGCAAATGGAGGAAGAACAACAATTACCTAGGTTTCAAGATGATGATGGTCAATAACATGTAGAGTAGGAGGAAGTTCAACAGACTCAGGATTCTCAAGATTGGAGCTATAATCAAGGCAGAGATTCAGAGTATCTTCCTCATCTCAATGATCTCATTGCTCAGGCTATAGAAGCAGGTATAACAGCTACACTTCGGAATCAGCCACAAGTTCAGCAAGCACCTATCCTAGCACCAGTGTTCAGACTGATCCTTGCGAAAAAGGCTAGGAGTTCTTTCACAAAAGGGAGCCCACCTAAGTTTTCAGGCTCCATCGATACAAAAGCAGCTCACCAGTGAAAAAAGGACATCGAGTGACATTTTCGCATGGTTAAGTGCACCGAGGTTCAGAAGTAGATGATTACTACTTTCAAGCTTGTCGAAGATCCACTCAAGCAAGTTTTTCTCTACTATTTCATGATAATCTATGCAAGAAAAACTCATTGATTCCACTATAAGGTGTATACTGATTGCTGAGATGAGGCTATTGTCAAAGTTGTTGATGTGGGGGTTGTATTGAGTAATGACTTGGTGTTTCAAGCTACTGTGGTCGATTCTGAAGGTTGACACAAGTATAATTCATCATTTTACATTTATTCAGACTGTGTTTGTGTTAAGAATATGCTGAAACTGAACTTGGACGGTGTGGTCACTAGTTAAGTTTGTTTTTCTAAAGAAATCATGGATTCAAGTGCTATTTGATTATACTTAGCTATTTAATGATTAATGCTACTAGCTAGTATATTTTGATGAATTAAGATTGATAACGTTGAGTTTGTGATAAAGATATGGCATGCTTTGATTTTGAGTATTCTGTGATGAAGCTGTTTTGTACTGAAGTTAATCTGTGCTGAGGCTACTCTATACTGAGGCTATTTTTGTGTCGAGGCTATCTATGCCAAAGCTGTTATATGCTGAATCAAGGACTTTGACTGAACTGGTGATATACTCGTGCTGTGTTTGATTATACAAAGCTATAAACATGAGTACAATAGTGAAAGAAGACTGTATAAGGCACTGGTGAATTGATCTCAAAAAGAATTTCCTATTTTACCCCTCGGACATTTGATACAGCAGATTGTAATTCTGAGGCAGTAAATTAGAATTCTGTGTTGTCTAGCTTATTTGAATTGTATTTGGTATGTTGACACTTGTTGTAAATGGCAGTGAGGCATGACCCTCACCCTATTGTTGAGTGGTAGTGAGGTTTTACATCCTCACCCCATTGTTGAGTGAGCTTTAAGAGCTTATTGGGTCCAACCGTGGTTGCTTTAGACAGGAGGAATGGGTGGATGCATTGTGGTGTCCTAGTGTGTATGTATTGGTTATGAAAACTAGTGTCTATTCTGGTGCATGGGTGTGTGTAGAGAGTGAGACAGCTGAGTGTGTAACAAGATACATATAACTAGTGGATTGGTTATTGGCCGAGGCTAAGAACCATGGTTTTCCATATTTAAGAGGGTTTCCTTCTAAATTTTATGTTGTGTGAGAAAATTTTGAAAGCAAAGATTTAACCAATTCACCCCCCCTCTTGGTTCAACAATTGGTATCAAAGCTTTGGTCTGCATTGTGAGGTTCTAACATGCCTGCAGTGATCCCAGCAATGGATGAAGGCCAAGTTATCAACAAAGCTCCAGGGTTTGAAGGTTCAATCTATGATTCTTGGAAAACTAGAATAGAAGCCTTCTCAATGTCTCAATCATATTACGTTTGGCATGCTACTGTAAATGGTGTTGTGACTCTTGATCCTGATAACCCCTCTGTTAAAGATAAAAAGGTTGTGGCTAATGATAGCAAGGCCAAACATGTTCTCTTCTGTGCTTTAAGGCAACAAGAGTTTACCAGATTTAAAAGTTGTAAAACAACCAAGGAAATGTGGGATTCTCTTCAGGTAGCTCATGAAGGAAATAAGGTTATTAAGGAAAACAAGATACAGCTACAAAAAGTTCAATATGAGGTGTGTAAGATAGAAGATAGAGAAACTATTGCTGAGTACATGTTTAGAATCAATAACCTTGTTAAGAATATGAGAGCACTTGGTGAAGATATTAAGGATGTTGATGTTTGTAAGAAGATATTAAGGTCACTTACCTCTAGATTCAATCCTAAAGTGACAATTCTCGAAGACAAAGATCTTTCTAAAGTGAAGATTGACGAGTTTCAGGCCTCTCTCACTGCCTATGAAATGAGAATTGGTGTTCCAGCTATTCATAAAAGAGAAGCTGCTCTTAAAACAAAGGAAGTTGTTGAAAAAACTGAAGCAAAGTCTGAAGATGATTTGGAAGAAGATGAGGTTGCCTATCTTGCTAAGAAATTCAGAACGTTCAGGTTTAAAAAGAAGAATAAGCTACAAAATTTAACTTGCTATGGTTGTGGTAAACCTAGTCATGTTACATTTAAGTGTCCGAACACAAAGGGGCAGATTCAGAAGAAGAATGAGGGAGGAAACTACAAAAGAAGGTTTGGCAGAAAAGCAATTATCTCAGACTGGGATGCGGCTCCTGAAAAAGAAAAACTTGAGGAGACACAAGAAGATGAATGTCTCTTTATAGCAATTCTTGAAGCACCATAAACTTCTGTTCAAGTTGAAGAAGATAGTGACACTGAGATTGAAGAAATTCTTAAAGAGTGTGAAAGGCTTACAGTGAAGTGTGATCAACAGAAGGCTTAGATAAAAAGGTGCAGCTCAGAATTGTTTAAGTCTAAATAAATTCTCACTAAACACTTCAAACTTAAACTGTCAATGTTGTGTTCAGTTTCTCTTATTTTCAAAGCCTATTGAAATCTCAAGTCAACACTTAGTGGTCTACCAAGAAGTTTAAAGAAGAACTGCCTCTCATTCTAGAAGAAAGATCCCTAAAAGTGGCTGAGATCTGGAAGCAATCCACAAAGCAAATTGGGAAGACTGGAATTGGCTATGTGTGTGATTCAGCCACAAAAGTCAATCAAACTCACTTTGTATTTGTCAAAGCCATAATTGTTGAAGTGTATGCAAGGTTTCCTATCATAAAGCCTCGGAGGTTCAAGGATGAGTTACTTAATAACACCTGCAATGCTCTAAACTTTAGCAAGAGAGACTTTATTACCATAGCTATAAAGAACTTCAAGATAACTAGATTGTATGTCAAGAAGTTTGACTTAGCTTCAGCTCAGAAGGTCAATAACAAAGGATCATTGGTGAAGACTAAAATGATGTGGATTCATAAGAAGCTAAACTCTGTGAGTCTTCTTGTGTATACCGACTTTAAAACTTGCAATACTCAAGACATATGGCATGTTGATAGTGGCTGCTCAAGACGCATAACAGGTGATGGTTCCAAATTTAATTTGTTGAAGCAGTTTGATGGTGGAAATGTTATCTTTGGAGATAATCAAAGAGCTAAGATTGTTAGAATTGGTACTATGAGTAAGTCTAAAGAGTTGCCCGAAATCCCCGAAGTTCTATTGGATGAAGGACTCAAGCATAATCTCCTCAGTGTTAGTCAATTGTGGACAGTGGGAATGAGGTCTGTTTCAATAAAGAAAAATGCAATGTGATTGATCTTGAATCAAAACAAGTTTTGTTCTCAGTTAATTGATCTTTAGGAAATGTGTACATAGTCACTGAAGAAAGTCAGGTCACTCAATGTAATTTAACAACCTGTGATGAAGCAAAGTTGTGGCACAAGAGGTTAGGTCATCTTCATTCAAGAAATATGTCCAAGATTCTGAAGCTGAAAGCTGTTAAAGGACTGCCTGACATTAGTTTTAAAGATGATCACCTTTGTAAAGTATGTTAACAAGGAAAGCAAACCAAAGTGTCATTTCCTTCCAAGCAAATCAACTCTTCAACAGCTATGGACTTGATACATATGGATCTCTGTGGCCCTACCAGAACCACTAGTGTTAGTGGAAGTAAATATTTCATGCTTTTTATTGATGATTTTAGTAAGATGGTGTGGGTTTACTTCTTAAAAGAAAAATCTGAGGCCATTACATACTTTATTATGTTTGTTAATCTTGTTGAGAATGAAAGAAGTAGCACTGTGAAGAGACTTAGGTATGATTTTGGCTCAGAATTCATCATGAAGGAGTTTAAGCACTACTGTGATGATAAAGGTATCAAGAAAGAGTTCTTAGCTGTTGCTACTCCTTAGCATAATGGGGTTATAGAAAGGAAGAATAGGATAGTTCAGGAAATGGGTAGAACAATGCTTCTTGAAAAAGGTATAGCAGAAGGTTTTTGGGCTGAAGCTGTGAGTACGACTGTGCACATCATAAATAGGGTTCTTCTCAGACCTAATTTAACTAAAACACCTTATAATTTGTGGTATGGAAGACCTGCAACTGTTCACTACTTCAAGGTGTTTGACAGCAAGTGTTATATACTAAACCACACTGATAGTTTGGGCAAGTTTGATTTAAAGGCAGATAAAGGCATATTCTTGGGGTACTCTAAGAAAAGCAAAGCTTACAGGTGTTACAATCTAAGGTCTACAAAGGTGGTTGAGTCAATTCATGTGAAGTTTGATGAGAGTCCTAAGTCCACACCTTTTGAAGACTTTGACAATACTTTTGGTTCAAATGAAACCAGTTTCTTAGTTACTGAATCTGAAGATCCGAGGGAAATCATTTATCCAGTGCTGTAGTAGCAGGTTCAAGTGAAAACATCATTAGTTCATCTCAAGCTGGAGTTCAAACAAGAAACAAGAAAAAGCTAAATGATTTAGAAGCTGAAGATGGTGAAGAATACAGTCACTTTGCTATGCTATCATCCATTGAACCAAAGTCCTATTCTGAACCTCAGAAAAGTGAAGACTGGATAGCTGCCATGCAAGAGCAACTTGATTAAATTCACAAGAATGATACCTGGACACTCATTCCAAGACCTAAAGACAAGAATATGATAGGTTCAAAGTGGATTTATTGAAACAAGAAGAATGAGAAGGGGTCAACAATAAGAAATAAGGCAAAATTGGTGTGTTAAGGCTATGCTCAGCAAACTAGAATTGATTATAATGAAACTTTTGCTCCAGTTACTAGAATAGAATCCATTAGAATGCTTCTATCTTTTGCTTGTCACAAACAAGTCAAAGTATATCAAATAGATGTTAGTTAGCCTTGCTAAATGGAGACCGAAATAGAGAAGTTTACTTGGAACAGCCTGAAGGTTTCGAAGATTCAAAGTATCCCTCTCATGTGTTCAAACTAAGTAAGGCCTTGTATGGTCTCAAACAAGTCCCTAGAGCCTGGTATGAGAAGTTGTATTAGTTCTTAGTTGAACAAGGATTTCACAGAGGCAAGGTTAATAATACTCTTTATGTAAAAACTCATCAAGAACAGTTTCTAATTCTGCAAATCTATGTTGACGTACCATATTTTGTGGCTCGAACACCTCATTAGCTTCAGAATTTGCCAATTTCATGAAGAAAAGGTTTGAAATGTCACTCATAGGGACTCTCAGATACTTTCTAGGCCTGCAAATTACATAAACTTCCTCTAGAATCTTCATATCTCAACAAAAGTATGCCTCGGAGCTACTTAAAAAGTTCAAAATGGATGATTGTAAATCTATCTCAAAACCTCTATGTCTTAATACCAAACTCTTACTAAAGTACACCACTGAAGCTATTCCTTCAACACTTTACAGGTCAATTATTGGTAGTTTGCTGTATCTTACTACATCTAGGCTTGATCTAATGTATTCGGTGGGTTTAGTGGCCAAATTTTTAAGGAATCCAAAGGTTTCTCATCTTTAACCTACCAAAAGAATCCTCAGATATGTCAAAAGCACCATCTCATATGGTCTATTCTACATTTACTCACCCTCAATGTCTATTACAGCCTTTTCAGATAATGATTGGGGTGAATCTTTACCTGACAGAAAAAGTACCTCTGGTTATTGCTACACTCTGGGTTCCAATGTGGTCTCGTGGCTGAGTAAAAAACAAGACACTGTCTCTCTTTCAACCCCTGAAGCTGAGTATATAGCTACTTCATAAGCTAGTTCACAATTACTTTGGAAAAAAATTACTCTATCAGATCTTGGCATTCCATTCTCAGGAACTCCCAAGCTTTTTTGTGATAATTAAAGTGTTATTGCTATCAGTAAGAATCCCACACTGTATTGGAAGAGCAAACACATTGACATCAGATATCACATTCTCTGAGATAAAGTTCAAAAAGGTCTTATTGATATTACCTATTTGCCTACTGAAGATCAACTTGCAGACATCATGACCAAACCTCTTCTTCCTCAGAGATTCTCAACCTTTCGAGCTCCTCTAAGGGTTGTTCCTCCTCCTTTCTGAACTTATATTGTTGGTCCTTCTCATCTTTTGACATTCAATGTCAAAAAGGGGGAGAAATGGACTGGAACAAGGATAGCTTCAAGCTATTCCTTTGCATTTAGGTTGTTCTACTTATAGGTTATTTGGTTTTTGTCATTAAAGGCAAAAGGGAGAGATTGTTGGTCCTAAGTTACCTTAAGGAATGTTTGCCTTTTAATGTCCAAAAGTAATACTCAACCTCGGACATTAGCCTCTGACATTGCAATGCTCAGCCTCGGACATTGAAGGTTCAGCACTTCAGCCTCGGATATTGAAGGTTTAGCACTTCAGCTTCAGACATTGCAATTCTTCTGCCTCGGACAGAGATGCTTCAGCCTCAGACAGAGATGGTTCAGCACTTGGGTGTTAACTACAGGTGCTCACAGGGGCTCTATGATCTTTTCTCAGGTGTATTCCATATATATATATATATATATATATATACACACACACACACACACACACACGTTTGCTCAATGTGACACGTTTCAGTGGTCCTAGAGAAGAACGTAACACGTTTCAGTGGTCCTAGAGAAGAATGTGACACATCTCCGTGGTCCTAGAGAAGAATGTGACATGTATCAGTGGTCCTAGAGAGCTGGTTTATGCAAGAATATTCCATTCTTGGAGGCTAAGTTTGGACAGAAATGGAATTCAGTACTCAAAATTCTAACCTGCTGTAGCTAGAAGAACAGTGATGAAATTAGCCAAGGTGGCAGGCCTGCATTGGTCCATTGCTCTGAAAAAATCTGAATTGTGCTCTCCCAATCATTGGTGAAAGGTGACAGGTGTATATCCGTGGTGTGTGAGGCCTTATGAAATTAAGAGTCACTATAAATATGTTGTTCTAAGGCTCCTTAGGGTTTAAGCCTCTCGAATTTACATTGCACATTGAGTTGTTACTGAAAACCCTCAAGTATACTATGTCAAGTGATGAGGCCACTTATGAACGCCAAAACAATGTAGTGAATGTTCGGTTCAAGAAAAGCCTTTTAGGTCAAGTTTAAATTTATAAAAACCACTACCACCACTACTACTAACGTAGCAAGAGTGAGTAGGGATCGTCCCAAGGGATTATACGTGTTGGAATTTAACTTCAACTTTAATGTATCAATTGATTGCAAAAGATAGATATTGGTTAATTAAACTAAGATGCAAGGAAATTAAAATGCAATTAAAGTAAACTAGTGAGAGATAGGGATTTAAGAGATATAAAGAGAGGTCTTAGGGTGTTGGAATCACCACTAAGCCCATGTAATTAACCACTTGCTTTCCATTAATGGGGAATACATTATTGTGAACAAAATGCGACTACCAATTGCAATATTAAGCATGGACCATCAAATTCATGTATGAATTGTCTACCTAACCAACAAATAAACTAAGTGTAGAACAACCCATCAAATCTAAGCATGACCCATCAAACTAGTCACAATTGTAGCACACATCAATCTAGAGAATCACGAAATTTGCAATAATAAGCCATGGAAAATCAAATCAAATATAGATTGTCTACCTACTTACAAGCATGAATTAAATTGTAGAACAACCCATTAAGCATAAGTATAATCCATCAAATTAATTAACAAACCCATTCAATGAAAACCCATGCTTAGCCATCATTAGATCCTTAATTAATCACACATAGACATGCAACCAACATAGAGAATCTAGTGTAGAGATTAATTCCCAAATAATCACACATAAGACAACATGTAATCAAATAGAGAATCAATAGAAAGAATTAATCCATATGAATCATGTAAGAAATAATTCCTAATCTAATCACACATAGACATGTAAATAAACTAGAGAATTAATATGAAGAATTAAACCATAGAAATCATAGAAATATACCAAGATTCATTAAATTCACAAGGCTATAACACTAATCATAACTATATATATAAATCCCCTAAAATAGAAATACAAGGGTTTAGATTAAACAAGACTTAGGGCTCATCCAAGCCCTTAGTGTAGATCTAGCCAATCATGGAGGAGGTAGAAGTGGTCATGAAACCCTCAAGGGTAAGCTCCAAATATGGCTCCATTTTCTTCTTCTTCCTTTTTGAAGCTCTAGAGAGAGAGAGTATGGAGATCTAGAGATGTGTTCTTGAGATGAGCCTCCACTTTCCTTTTTTCTTCTAACCCCAATCTCTAACATTTTTAAAGAGAGAAAATAAATTTACAATGTAAAAATAAAATGATAAAAAGCCTTTTTGGATAAAAACAAATCTGAGATATTTTGAAGATATTTTTGGGAAAAGGACAAAAGTGGTTGGTAGAGTGGTACAGCTGGATAAGATCTGACATGTGGATAAGGACAAGAAAGTTCGATCGATCAGAGAATGATGTTGGATCGATCGAACTTTTGGGATCTCTGAAAATGACGTCATGGCCTGGATCTATCTTGAAGTGCTGAGATCGATGAAAGTTGGATCGATCGAACTTTTCTTGAGATCGATCGAAGTTGCTGAGTTCCACCTTTTGCTTCCTTTTGCTCCTTTCTTTGACTCATCCCAGAATTGCTTCAATTATGCTCTTATTTGGCTAAGTTAGTTTATTTTGGGGATAAGTACTTGAAAATGGAAATAACACGAAATCAATACAAAATGGGAAAATAAGATAGATAAAGGTTCTAGAATACCTAAGCTTAAGGGGTTTAAATACGCACTTTTAAGTGCTCATCACACACCCAAACTTAAATATTGCTAATCCCTAGCAATGAACTAAAAAGTAAAGGAATGAAATGAACAACTATAAAACTATGAACTAGAAAGCAATAAATGGATAACGCCACTTTCGTAGGAAACACAATTACATTTAGC